AGTCCACAGAGGACAGGCGCCTGTGGTCCCTGAGTGCCTCCTGCTCTGGCTGGCGGTCCCCTTTGCCAGCCTGCCCTTGGCCTGGCTGCCCGCCCTGCTTTCGCCTCATCCCCTCCACAGCTGCGTTTCTCCATCAAAGTGCACATTCTGGAATCTCCCTCTCTGAGCCTGGTGATCAAGCCTCCCACTGACCTCCCCTGACCAACTCCTGGCTTCCGATGAGAACGAAGCAGGAGAGGGCTGCACCCCCCAGGAAATGTCACAGTGCCAGGATTCTGGTGGGCTTAGGGCATGCTCTGGCCTGGATCAGGCCAGCCTCCTTTGCCCCTGCCCTTTTCTGCTCACAGCCCCATTGTCTCCCTCCAGGGGAAGCTGCCAAGGCGGAAGGCCTGGAGGGGGGAATGGATGGCCACCCCACCCCACCCTGGAGCTTGGCAGGGGCCACTAACAGGACAGCCCATGAAGAGTCAAGGGCTCTCTCTATATAAAGACAGGATGGGAAAGGATGGCCAAGCCCAGCTGGGAGTGTGAGTGGCAGCTGGAAAACCTGGGTGTCATGAAGATGCCTGAGACCTTTTTTCCTGCGTCCCTTGGGGCCAGAGATGAGGCTACCCTCAGACTTTTGCTCTTGTTTCCTTTTCATAAGTGAAGGGGGAGGAGAGTGAAAGGCAGGATGGGATGGGGGAGGGAGTGAGATCCAAGATGTTTTCCCTAGTGGAACAAGAAGAGGGCTAATTTCTTTCATAAAAAATATAAAAAAAACATGGCTTGGCGCCTGTGGCTCAAGCGGATAATGCACCAGCCACATACACCTAAGGTGGCGGGTTCGAATTCAGCCTGGGCCTGCCAAACAACAATGACAACTGCAACCAAAAAAACAGCCGGGCCTTGTGGTGGGTGCCTGTGGTCCCAGCTACTTGGGAGGCTGAGGCAGGAGACTTGCTTGAGCCCAGGAGTTGGAGGTTGCTGTGAGCTGGGGTGCCACAGGACTCTACCCAGGGGGACAGCTTGAGGCTCTGTCTCAAAAAAAAAATATATATATATATATATATATAAAACAGCCAGGCACGGTGGCTCACGCCTGTAATCCCAGCACTTGGGAGGCTGAGGTGGGTAGATTGCCTGAGCTCATGAGTTCAAGACCAGTCTGAGCCAGAGCGAGACCCCATCTCTAAAAAATAGCCAGGTGTTGTGGCAGGCATCTATAGTCCCAGCTACTTGGGAGGCTGAGGCAAGAAGATCACTTGAACCCAAGAGTTTGAGGATGCTGTGAGCTATGACACCACCGCACTCTACTGGGAGCAAGAAAGTGAAACTCTGTCTCAAAATATATATATCAGAAAAGGGAAAGATAAAGAGAGAAGAAGTGAGATTGATTTGGCTTGTCTAGAAAGTGAGCTATTTTCTACAGCCACTAATTGAAGGTATAAATAAAGATAGGTCAGTTGTTGTACAGAACTTCCTGAGGACAACAGGCAATAGGAAAGTAGGGCTCAGAGTGTGTGTTGGGGGAGCTGGCAACCAGGAGGCCATGGTTTCTCCCTCTCTGCCTCACTCCCAAAACAGGGTCTGTGAGGGTCACAGCATAGGCTGGAAGGCCTGAAGGTGCTAGGCCTGGAGGACCTCAAGAGAGCCTGGCCAATATCCTAGAATCTGGGATTCTGTGATTCACAAAGATATGGTTACAGACAGAAAAGAGACAGACAGGCTGGAGGCAGAGTTGAGAAAGCATGCATTGCATTTGGGGGAGGTAGAGGAGTGGGAAAAAAGGTGGAAGAGAAATGGCTAAAAAACTTAGAGCCAAGTCCCTGAGCCAATTCCAGGATGCCCCTTTCCTGACCAGGACAGTTGAATCACTCAGAAGTCCTGGGATCCTCTCTGCTTCCAGCGTGGCTGCTGCTAGAATGTCACAGTGGATTATAGTAGGCTGCACATCCAGCTATTTTTCTGGCTGCTGTTGGAGTTCTGATCTGGCCAGGATTCTTTAAGAAGCATGGAGAAGCAGGCCAACAAGCTGGTGCTAGACATCAAGGAACAGCCTGGAAGCCCCTTGTGGAAAGCTCCTAGCTGAAATGACAGTGGAGGGACGGTATGGGGAGAGTGACAGGAGGCTCAGGCCAAAGGAATGCTTGGTCCAGCCCACCAGCCCAAACCTGACCTTGGAGGGCAATGTTGGGGTGAGGCAGGGACAGGAGTGTAAGCAGAGTAGATCCTGGGGAGGGGAATCTGGGCTCAGACCAAAGAGTTATGAAATGTTAGACCAGCAGTTCTCAATCTGTGGGTTGCAACCCCTTTGGGGGTTGAATGACCCTTTCACAGGGGACCCCTAAATACATCATGTATATCAGATATTTACATTACAATTCATAACAGCAGCAAAATTACAGTTATGAAGTAGCAACAAAAATAATGTTATGGTCAGGAGTCATCACAACATGAGGAACTGTATTAAAATGTCGCTGCATAGGAAGGTTGAGAACCACTGTGTTAGACAGAGAAGAGTGAGGAAGCCAAGGCAGGCAGGAGAGGCACATGTGAGAAACATACACCTTATCACCTAAGCCTCTCACTCTTCACCCCGCTTCCCCTGCAGCTGTGGCCATGAAGGCCTCTGTGTTCTCCCACACCTGCCTTTCTCCTTTCCTCCCCCATTCCCTACTTCTCAGCTTCAGGGTCAGTCTCCAAGAGACCAGACCTCTCTCCCTTGGCTTGGTTCCCACCCAGTGGTCCCTCCTGAACCCTCACAGATACAAACCCCAGAAAGGAGAATCAACTAATAGTTCAAAAACATTCCACAAACCTCTCTCCAGCACCTATACTGTCCTGGGCCTTGAGGGTCCTAAAGACAAAACCTCTGCCCTCTAGGAGCAAGTAAGAGAGAGACTGAAAAGGAGATGATTATTAGTAAAATGCAGTCACTAGCACAGTTGCCCAATATGTGAGGTACAGTGGGAGCACAGAAAAGGCAAAGGAAGGAGGACAAAGGGACTGCTTCACGGAGGAAGTGGTATTTTAACTGTAAGAATAAGAACAATTAAGACATATGAGGAGAAAGGGAACGGAATACAATGGCCATTAGGAAGGGACCTGTCCCCATACCTTGAAAAAGGACAAAGTTTGAAAATGTGTGTATGGGGGTGATGAGAAAGAGAGCTCCTTACAAAGTTTTGCTTGGGACCCTGCATTTTAAACTGAAATGAATCACCCTTTTCACTCCTGGGGACCCTAACCAAGGGAAGCTGGATTATGAAGAGGATACTACATTGACTGAGTACCTCCTAGCCTTCCCAGGAAGCTTGCCAGTTAGACAGGCTATCATCCCTACTCTACAAGTGAGACCGAGAAGCGGGGAAGGAGGGTAAGTGACTTGCCTAAGGTCACAGATTTAATGGTTAGATCTCAGGTCTATTTCTTTGTTTTTGTTTTTTTTTTTGAGACAGAGCCTCAAGCTGTCCTCCTGGGTAGAGTGCCATGGCATTACAGCTCACAGCAACCTCCAACTCCTGGGCTCAAGCGAGTCTCCTGCCTCCGCCTCCCAAGTAGCTGGGACCACAGGCACCCGCCACAACGCCCGGCTATTTTTCGGTTGCAGCCGTCATTGTTGTTTGGCGGGTCCGGGCTGGGGATTCGAACCCACCACCTTAGGTGTACGTGGCTGGCGCCTTAGCCAGTTGAGCTATGGGCGCTGAGCCGATCTCAGGTCTATTTCAAAGCTGCTACTGCAATATACTAACCTAGGATGAAGGATATATATTCCCTAGATGGGACTTAGGTCGTCCTCGATTTGGCCCCTCACTGACACCTGGTGAGAGACATCTCCCCCATCACGAAGGAGGACAGATTGCTGCCCGCGGCTCCGGGTGAGGGCATCCTACTTTCTATCTCCCTAAAAGAGAGAGGCATTTGCCTCTTCCAAATCCCAGGAATGGGGGAGGAGCGGAGGGTAAAATTCCAGCCAATCACGTGGCGAGATGCAAATAGACAAGCCCCTATCTTTTTAGGATTGGCTGCTCCGTCGGCGCTATTGTCCAAATCCCTCCTCTCTAAACACAGCACTATTCCGAGTGAGTGAGTGAGGTTCTGGAGATCACGGAGGAAAAAAGCTTTCGGGATCTGGATCTCCGAGCTATCCCAGCTGGGCACCCACCTACCCTGCCTCTGTCCCACCCCTTAAGACTCAGAACTCCCTCAATCTTTCACTGCTTAGGTATCCGCTATACCTAAGGCCAGGTCCAGAGGCCAGGTCAGGGAAGACGCTCCCATCCCTTGGCTGGCCAGGCCTCTTTCTTTCACTGGAAAGCTCCCCGGTTCCATATCTCCCCGCTGCACATTTTCTTCGTTCATGATCCCCACGTCTGGAAGCGCTGGGCGCCCTGGTCACTTTCCTGCCTTTCCTCTTCTTCTTTGCTCCAGGAGGAGGAGATGGAGAAACCAGAGGCCTGACTCAGTTTCCCCTTTACATTCCCTTTCTTGCCTGCATAGCCATCTCTGAAAGAAGCCCTAGAGAAGCTGGTGGGTTTCCAAGCAAAGTGGGGCAGTGAAGGGACAGCTGTCTGTGGCTTCCCAACTTGTTCCTTGCTTTTCTTCAAATCTAGCTCCCTACCCTAAATCCAGGGCCCTCCTCACACACTCTTTTCCCGGTATCTGGCTCCCTGGTAGCTCTTTCCTACCTACGCTCCAATTCCTGGTGACCTGGACTTAGTACATAGTGTGCAGGGAAGGGGCAAGGGCATGGGGGAGGGGCGGGAAAAGGAAACACAACAGTATGTGCCAAGGATTAGAAACGTCTAAGTAGGAGTTTAGAAGTGCCTCAGCGGAGGTAGGGAGGAGAGCTGCACGCGCCTCTGTCTCGTGCCCCCGCACTGCTGCCCAGAGGCTAGGCTCCGCAAGCAGGTAGAGCCCGGAGGCAGCCGGAGCGTGGTGCGGAACTCCCCACCGGTCCCAGGATCCCCACCCGAAAGTTTCCAGAGCCGCGCCGAGCAGCGGGACTCAGGACTCACCACCACAGTCCGCCGACGTGCGCGGGGCACAAGAGCAACAGCAGCAGCAGCCCGAAGCGAGAGAGTACGGGTGGCAGCATCTTGACCGTTCTACTGCCGGCGAGAGTGGGCAGTGGGTACGGCTGCGGGGCTAAACGGTGCGCTCGAGGGCCCGGGCTTCAGCGCTAACGCGACGGCGGCGGTGGCGGGGGGAAGGCGATGGCTTCGGCGGCGGCGGGGGGGCCCATCGCGGGCGAGGAGGGCGCGGCGGAGGCGGAGAGCGGACGGGGCAGCCAGCGCCTGTGTCTCCTGCGGAGCTCGCTCGGGAGAAGAAATCAGAGCCGGGGGCGGGGGTGGGAGGGGAGCGAAGCCCGGGAGGGGGCGGGGAGCAGGGGGGTGGCAGTTGCGACAGTCAGGCGGCGGGACTCTCGGGAGCAAGCCGTGCGCCCCGGGGCGGCGGGCAGGGAGCGCAGCTGAGGGCGGGAGCAGGGTGCCGGGGCGGGGCCCGAGCGCGCTCGTGGCTGCGGGACCCTCCCGCCTCACCCTTTGCCTCGCCTCGCCCCCTCACCTCGCTTCTCTCGGACAGCGAACCCCCGCCGCCCCCGGCCTCCTGGAGTCGAGGACAAGGAAGGGCGGGGAAGAGGAGTGGAGAAGGGTAAAGGGGGGAGGAAGAGGAGCTGAGGAATGGGGGACGGGCTGGAAGAGAGACGTTTGACAGGTTTGTTGACTGTAAAGAGAGAAAACTTCCCAGGAATGAGGGAGTTGGGGGGGGCGACGATGCAGAGGGAGATGTTGGCGCGGGGGCCAGGAAAGGAAGTTGGCCTGGGGCTCAGGGTGCTCCGGTGAGGGGTGTCAAACTCCACCGCCCAACCGGCGGACCCTGGAATGGTCACTTCTCACCGCGGCCCGCCTCCACTCTGCACGCCCCTTCCTCAGACTCTCCGAGAGGAAGGGAGGAAGCCCTAGGCCTCAGCTCTGGCTCCCCAGCCATCCTGCCTCTTTGAGTCCGTTTTCGGGGGCGGGAAGGGAAGAGATTAGACAGTAAGGGGATACTCTAGAGTCAAGGGCCTGTGCTCTAGCACGCTCGCACGTGGAAGCGAGCTGCGACAGAGACTGCAGACTTCCAACAGACTGAGGGGTCAGAACTCACTGCAGTTGGGCCTCGGTCTACAGGAGTCCCTGCCTTGAGTTCCACCCCCAAGTTGGCCCCAGAAGAAGGGGTGGGAGAGCCAGCTGCAGGTGAGATGGCTTTATCTGATTTCCTAATGCCACAAAAATGTCTTTGATGCCCCTGGCCCCCTCCCCAAGGGGGGAGATCAAAGGCCCCGTGGGGAGGAGGGACAGCTCCATTCATCACGCCAAGCTGCTGGCAGCGGGGCGGCAGCCCCTGTTCTTAGCTGGGGCAGAGGCTCCCTACATGCCCCAGGGTCCTGAGAGACAGGTGGTGTTGGACATTCTGAAGCTAGGGCCAGTCTCCCTACCACCACCATCTAGAACTACCATCAACCTATAAGGTTGTCCTGGAGTAAGGAAGACAGATCCAGGACCTGAAGTCCATGTGGCAGAAACTTTAGGCACCCATAAGAAAGCTCCTGGCCTTGGAGGGTGGGGACTGAGGTCACTGTCCAGACAGACAAACAGCCTCTGGTGAGTAGAGAGAAGACAAGATCCTGACCCCTCCAAAGGGTGAGAATAAGCGATCCAGATGAGACTGAGGGCGAATGGGAGGTGACCCCAGGGGAGGAAGAATGAGCAAACATAGACCAAAGAACTACAGTAATGCCCTGAGCCCATGAGGAAGCCCCTGGATTTTCTGGGAGCCCCACCTTGGGGTCTTGGTATCCAGGCCATTTCAGTTCAATGCCTTGTACTAGGTGCAGAGTTCTGGTGAAGGGCCTAGGATGCCCTAGAGAAGGGGAGGGGTTGCTGTGGTTGAGAGAGAGAGTGAGGGGGTCTGGTCCAAGTGCTGTTTCCTCCCCTTTTAGCATTTAATAACATCCAAATGCCATTCACAACCCTGCACCTAGTAATTTTGTATACAGTTGCTGTTTCTGCAGGAAACAACTTTGGATACTGCATATACAAAGACATAACCAGGCTGGGCACACAATCTAGCCATATGGTGCCAAATGGGCAGTTGGAGGGCTAGGGGAGGTCTCTGGAGGCTGCAGGTGGCAGATGACCAGCCTCCTGGGAGCCACTGCCTGGGTTCCAAACCCCCTGCCCACCCCTGCCCCACCCTGCTACTGTTATTGAAGATTATGAAATACTCTCCCGATCCCGCATTCTTCTCCAAGTCAAGAATTTTAATGTATTTGTCTTTGTCATCAGGGGACCTGGGCTCTGGGACCGCCCTGCCTCTGCCTGAGGAGGGAGCGCCCCAAATCTTGTCCCTGTTGCCTGCAAACCCCAACCTTTTTCCATTACCATCCCTCCCCCATGCCCTAACCCTGCCCTTTACCTCCCCCTCCTAAGACACAGTCTCTCTGTGGGGTGGATAAAAATGATGTTATTGAAACAACAGAATTGGGAGCAGTGGCAGGGAGCAGGGATCAGCTCAGGAAACTGGGGCGCTTGCCAAGAAGCCTTCTCCCCCGCAGGCGGCCTTTCTGCCCCCACCCCCACCTTTCCTACAAACACACAAAGCTCGCCCCACCCCTCCTGCAGCACTCACTCTGACCAGATCTTGCAGAATCTTTTGCCATCCCTGGACTTCCTAAGCCTTCATTCTTCCCCCCACAGAGTCCCATTCCAGAATCCAGTGGTGCCTGCAGAGCACTGGGGCAGGGGAGGGCTGGGCTAGAGTCTGTGGTGGGCAAGTCTCCTGAAGCCCCAGTTCCTACGGCTTGGGTTCCAAGGGCAACTTGCTTTTGCCCACTCCCCTTTGCCCTCTCTGTATCCCCACCTAGGGGCTGGATGACATCTGGGTGGAGCCAGAACAATGACTTCTGTTCTTATGCTCCAAACATTTGAAGAGGTGAGTTCAGATGTTCCTAATGCTTCAGCCTACCACTATGATCACTAGAAGACTTACCAAGGAGCAAGGCTGGCGGCCAGGAGATAGAGACTATGGCACACAAAAAGCAAGCAAGGTGTGTGCAGACACGTGCACACTCACACCAACAGCTGGACACAAGCTTCCAGATAACCCCACAGAAATCACAGGACACGCTGGTCTCCCCTAGACGATGCTGGGACACTTTTGCCCATAGGTATAGACAAACACATAGATGGGCTGGCTCAGGTTGAGACAAGTGCCTGCCTCCCTGGAAATCACACACACACACACACACACACACACACACACAACGTCTGCACTGACATGTGTGAGAGGAACATTCACTAGAGACTGAAGTGGTAAGACAGTGACACAGAAATGGGCAGTGTGAATGGGGAGGTGCCAGTCTGACCCCTCTCTCTACTCTCTGGGCACTTCATTCCTCCACCCCTTGTTGTATCTCTTTGCCTGAAGTCCTGGGAACTCATAAACACTACCTCTAGGCCCTGGTGCAAAAGAGAGACAGAGGAGAGACTTGGGTGTCTGGCCTCGGGGCTGAGGAGGAAGGAGGGGCTGAGGTGGGAACTGAGGAGGGGAGAGGCAGCTGGGGTGAGATAACATCAGAACCGCTTCAGGCAGAGCAGAGCCCTCTGTCTCTGCCGGATTCTCTCTTACTGTCTTTCTGTGTCTTTCCACATCTTGCCCATGTCCATAATTTGGTCTCTATTTGTGTCTGTCTCTAAATCACTTTCTCTGTTTCTTTTGTTTCTCAGAATGACTGAAGCTGCAGGAGCCCAAGAATTTGGGCCTGTGACCCTTCCCCTCCCAATAACCTCCCTCTCACCCTCCCTTCCCACTCTTTTTTTTCTCCCTCCCTCTGCCCCCAGCAATGGGACTTAACTCCTCTCCCTTCTGGGAGGTGACAGGAGATGAGAACTGCTAAGACCCCTGGGCATCTGGGTCCCAAGAGAACAGAGAGAGGAAAGGCCAACCCCATAGAGGGACGGAGGAAAGGCCAACCCCATAGAGGGACGGAGGGACGGAGGGAAAAGATAGAGAGAGGAGGGTGACTCTTTTTGTTCTCCCTTCTATACTCCAGGTACTCCTACAGAGTCTTATCCCTATCTAAGGCTGAGTTCTCTCTCAGACTTTCTCTGGGCGTTAGTCCAAGGGAATCCCTCACCCCAGGCCCCAGTTTCCCACAGAGCCCACCTGCCTCAGGTCTTCTATATGTCTCAATCCTATCCATGCCCCCAGTCACCCCATCAGTCTAAGGAGAAAGAAAAGGGGGCCAGAGGAGAGAGTAAAGGAGGGGGTGGGGAACAAGGGCTGAGGAGGGAGGGGCTGCTGCTCGCCCACCACAACAGGGCTGGGGGAAAGCCAGAGAACATTTGTTTTCACTTAGCTTAGCCCCAGTGGGCTCGAGTGGGCGTGGTTGGCCCCAAGAGCCTCTCCAGCCAGCAGGCTGGCTCCTGTCTTAATGACTGTGGGGTGGGCAAAGCCCCTGCCATGGTCTCAGGTGTTCTGGGGAAGAACCTCTGCCCTCTTCTCTGCTCACTGCTCCATTCTTCTTCAGGGACACCACCTACCCTCACTGCTCAACTCTCACCTCTGAGGGAAACAGGGCTCCTAAATCCAGGTCTCTAGACCTGGCCTCTCCCCTCATAGAGTGGTGTCTGCTGGTTCTCTCTCCCAAGGCAGCAGCCAGCAAATTTGTAAATGAGCACCCACTATATAGTAGGTACCCAGCTGGATAGTGAGGATGTAACAGTCAGCAGAAGCAGCCATAACCCTCCCCTCATGGAGTTGACAATCTTTAATCACATCATCTCTCAAATAAGAGGAAAGCCACAACTTTGAAGGGGAGAGAAGCAAAGGGTCTGTGAGAGGCTCTGGGGAAACCATGAAGTCCTTGACAGGGTCAGGGAGGGTGGGGAGGGCATCTCTGAGGAGGGACTGCTCTAAGTGAGATAGAAAAATATTAATTGGATGGCTCGGTGCCTGTAGCTCAGCGGCTAGGTTGCCAGCCACATACACCAGAGCTGACAGGTTCGAGCCCAGTCTGGGCCTGCCATACAACAATGACAACTACAACCCCCCAAA